GCTCCGAACGCCGTGCACGTGGCCGTGGCCGTGGCCGGCGCGGTGGGCGGGGACGGGGGCGTGGACGGTCTGGCCGCGAGCACGCTTCTCCCCCGTCCATCCCGGCTGTAGCCCAAGCCGACGCTCCTCAGCTTCCAGCCGAGCCCTCCGCACCTGCCACTGTCCCCCCCGCTGCGCCTGAACGTCGTGCCCTGTCCGCCGAAGCAGCGTTTCGAGTAGGGCTTGAAAGTTCGGACGACGTCGACCTCGAGGCCACCCTGCGCAGGCGTGTCTTGACGCACCACACCGGCATCGCCGGGCCGTGACAGGCAGCAGTTGCAACCCCCGGCTGAAAGTGTTGCTTGTCCAAGGCATGCCAGGCTGAGACGATGCTTGGGTTGATGTGATGCTATCCTTGGATGGCAAGGTTGTGTCAAAAACACTTGCGGGACTTTCGGACAGCTCTGTTCAGTGCCTTTCCAAGTCCTACCAAAGAGTCACATCACTTGTGGGATTATGCACTTAGGACGTCGGCCCTTCAAGATGCCGCAACTTGTTGTCACATGTTTCAGGATGATGTGACCAATGCCCCAGCCTCACTCACCGTTGTGTCTGTTACGACGTCGTCCGTCCGCTCCCTGATTGATGACTGGGCTGTGGCGTGCCGGGCAACATGCCACAAGCTGAAGCAAACCCCGAAGCGGAGGAAGTGGCCTCGCCGCATGCAAGCTGTTCAAGTAGCTGCTGCCCTGTCCGGGCCCCGAGTCCAACCCGCTCCGCAAGACCACACAAACCTTTGATGCTGTCAAAGGGTTTGTCTTCAATTTTGGCTTTTCTGGTGGTGTGAATCCTGCTGGAAATGCTCTCGCCGCTGGCACATGGTGGTGCATGGCAGCGTACTTGCAGTTCCTTGGAGCTCAATGGGGATTTGCCCCAGGATGTCGACGACCGGCCGTTGGAGTGCTGAAGCCGTTGAGTTTGCCCGCCAGCTTGCACGCTCGCACTCCCGTGCTGCGCCGGTATCCGCCCGCGCTGCTTGCATCTCCGCCTACGTGCAGCGTTGGTCTGCTCTCCTCTCCTTCGCAGCCACACGAGCCTTCTGTGCAAGCCTGCTCTCCCTGCCCCTCCACAGCGCCTCCAACATCGATTGGGACATCCCGTGTGGATTTGTGGATTCACATGTCCTGCTTGGAGTCTCCTTGGGGGCCCAATTTGATGGGACATCCCGCTTGCCATGTCCTTCCAAAATGCATATGCTGTTGACTGAGCTGTCGTCTGCAGGCTTTCCAATGCATGCGCTCCTTCTTTGCCTTTCGTACACGGTTAATACCGTCGGCATCCCATGCGATCGAACTCACAGTTCAAGTTCCCTTTTTCGAAAACAGGTCAATGGGCCTTGCTCAAGAAGATCCTGAGGTGCTACGCAGTACCTCGGGTCGTCTTGACCGAGATTTTGCGGCTGGCTGAAAACGAACCGGCGTCCTGGTCAGCCAGCGTGCTGCGCAAAGAGCAGCAACTGGGACTACCAGTGCTCGGTATTGAGACCTCGGTCCTTTCTATCAAGCATATCAAGGCTAAGTTGCACTATCACGCTGTGACAGTTGTCCTTCCTGCTGTCCGCGCGCGTGAGCAGGCAAATTGGCACTCCTGTTCAAAAGCCATCCAGCACTGGTTAGGCTACTCGAAGCTGAGTTGGACGTGGCAGAACGCGGGATTCGCATCTCCGATGCCCAAGCTTGGGCTCAGCTTAAACTTCAAGCTGCTCTTGGGCCTGCTGCTCCATGCAGATTTTGTTCCACGAACCTCTTGGATGATATCGAGCATTAGTTTTTTGACTGTGATGTGGCACTGCGCTGATGCTCGGAGGTCAGTCGGCAGCAATCGGAATGATGCTTGGAGTGTCACTCGATGGGTGCGGGCGTCAGGCGAGCTCCTACGACACCTGGACAAGCGCTGAGAAACCAGGGGTGCGCTCTTCCCTAGACAGTCTTGCCAGCGCGTCACTCATGGTTGCATGATTTTTTTTGGTTTTGGGCCTTGAGGTTGGCGGGCGCTGGAGCCGCCAGGCCGCCCTGTTTGTCAGGCTGCTTGCTCGATGCCGGGCCCGAGCCGCTCCTGCTGCGTCACGGGCAGCGTGCACTTCCGCGTTTGCGCTGCGCTGGTCGGCACTCCTCGCCTTTGCAGCCGCCCGTTCTTTTGCAGCCCTCCTTTCCCTTCCTGTCTCCGGCACAGCAAACGTTGATGGAGAATCGCCTCTCGTCAGCGACATCGTTGCTGACTCAGCCGAGCAGTAACTCCTTAAGACAGACCAGCTTGAAAATACACGATCCGCCTTCTCTCTTCCATGCACGGGCCTTCGCCAATCCCAATCCTGTTGGGGTTGTGTGAGGGGTCTTGCGCTGGCTGCGATGCTTGGCTGCCGGGGATCGTTTCGGACAGACATGGGCACTGGTCTTGTCACACCCTGGCAAGTCCGTTCGTCCCTGCCTTTTCCGCTTAGTGCTGCCTGCAGTAGGCTAGGCCTCCGACCTTGATCATTGGCCCATCTCGCGGGAACAAAAAAAAACTTGGCATCACCGTCGAGCCGCGGCCGGCCAAGTGCATGAGAAATAGGGCCCAGTTGGGTCATCAAGCCTGCCTGCTCATCCACTGCCACCGCCTCGCATGGGCTGTTACACGCGCAAGAACAACTCCGGATCGCCAGCGTCCCGCTCAATGTCGGGCGCCGCCTCCCTCCCCACCTCCCACCGCATCCCAATGGGGCATGGTCCCCAGTGCCTGGAGAAACGCCTCAGCCTGTGAGACCGCCAAGCCAGCACCAGGTCCTCCAGGCCCAAGCTGCCAGCGTGGCCACGTGCACAGTGCCAGCAGCAATTTTTTTCTCCAACGCAGCCAGCGGTCGTGGGGGCGGCGCGAGTCAGGACCGGCGGAAGGGCCCAGCCTCGCGTACTGGACCGTGGCGGAAAAAGGTGCGAAGAAAAGATGTGCTCCAGATGTCCTGCGCCGGAAGCAAGCCGCCGGCTGGGCCCATGGTCACATGCCAGGTCCAGCGCATCCAACGGCAGCCCCCCATCATGGACGTTGCTGGCCAAGGGCTGCCCAAGGCCGTACTCCCGCATCCGATACCACCCACGCCACCTTGCTGTTCATGTTGTTCTGGACATTGAAGTCGGTGGCCATTGGAGCTGCGAGGCGGCATCGTTCACCCGTTTCCATTTTCCGAGCGGCATGCACATCCGCCTTCGCGCTCCGTTGGTAAGCGCCTCTCAATTTTTTGCAGCGGTTTGGTCCTTCGCGGTCAGCCTTCTTGCTTTGCCCCTGGCCGGGAATTTCAGCGCCTGAAGCAAAACAAGAAGCTGAGAGCCATTTGAAGTATGAGTCAGGGACCACGGCCCCTAGGAGGGCCCCAGGATTGAAACATACGGCAAATAAAAAAAAACTTCTCAAGGCCGAAAAACCTTCCCTGGACGTGTGCCCTTCAATATCCTTTCGTTTTTTTTTTGCTTTGGTTTTCAAGACCGCAAGCGCTCCGAAGCATCCATAAAGCCAATGCCCGCATGCTTGCAACTCAGTTTTGCCAATAGCCGAAGGTCTTGTGGATTCGGTTCGTGGTAAGCATGAGCTCCGGTGTTGCAAAAGTGACGTGCGAGTGGGAGCATCGGGCGCACATTGGCTCAAGCAAACCAGGGTTGTGCATCCCTTCGCTGCGCGGCCTTTATGCCCGCGCTATGGCCTTGCAATTGCACATTCGACCGCTGAGCGGGAATACGCTGACGTTGCAAGACAGGAGTTAGTCTCGTTTGTTGAGAAGTTTGTGCACGTGCATGTTGTTGCAGATGGTCTAGTTCTGTTTTCGCATCGAAGGCTAACAGCAAGCTCGGCGGAGACCGTCGCCAGCTTGACCACCAGGGTACGTGCCATGTGCGGTGATGCCGCTAAGATGCACAGTTCTGATCGTTCAGGGAGCATCGAGCCTTTGCCGCGCTGCCCAGGTGGCTGGTGAAGGATCAGCTTTTCGACTGTGTTTGGTTTCAGGCCTCACCCAGGCATGCTTACACAGTGTTGTGGACGATTGGTCTACATTGATTTCACGTGTTTTCTCCGGACTTTCTTTGCAGACATTGTTCAAACCCAGTATGTGAGGAAAAGGCAAATGTAAATGCCTTGTGGGGGTACGCGGCGGAAGCAAAATTAAATTTTGCAGGACAGAGTTGTACATGCTTGCCAGGGGATCGCTTGACTGTGCTGGATGAGTCCAGTTCCCTCACGGCTTCTGGTACCTCAGCTGGATGGGCAACTGGGTTTCTTCTGTTCTCGTGAATTGGCTAAGGCTTGCCCAGCGTGTAAGGCAACACATTAGGGTCTCAGCATGCAAGGCGTTCCCGACGGAGCGATGTTGCTGGCGAGAAGCCGCTTGCCAGTTTGATTGTGCTTCAAACTCTCCCAAGTAGATCATCGGTGCCTTGTACAAGGACCTCACCATGCCGCACACTTGACGTTGGAGAAGAAGAGTGACACCATGAGCCCCATGTTTTGGCGCTAAGCCTGCGGTGCTGTGCCTTCATGGTCATGCCATTAACGAGATGCTTTGCGTTCCGTAAGCAGTCGAAAAAAGGCGTTGGGAGCAGCATTTAAAAGCGAAGGCAGAAGCATTTTGAAACTGTTGCGCCACATGCTTTTGACTACTCTTGGCCCAGGGATTTGGCTCCAGCAGTGTTCTCACTGGTGCCATGCCATGGCGGCGATGGATACCAGCGTAAGTTTGGCGCAATTCGCTGAGGACGCGCTCCGATATCTTGTGGGACATGCACACATCGAGGATGTTTTTCGTTTGGCCTTCCTTGTTTTGTTTTATCTCTCTCTCTCTCTCTCCCAAATGGCTGCGGCAACCCGTGCGGAGTACCAACATGCGTTGCAGATTTCATGCAGGATGTCCTGTAGGTCATGTCTGGAGGGTGTTCTTGCCCCTTACCCATTTTGCTTTGTGCTGCGCATTGCTAATCTTTGCGACATCCATTGTGATGCAGGACACGACACAGGCCTCCAAAGAGCAGCCAACACAGAAGGAGATCCGCTGTCGACGACTTGTGGCAGAGACTGCCAATCCCAGCTCGCGTTATGCTACTAGTCGATGGTGAGAATCGGCTTTGACCTCCATGTTGCGTTGGTCATGCCAAGACTTTGCTTCGTCCGGTCTCGGAAAGGGCTCTCTCAGTCTTGGAACCCAGGTTGGCAACACACCGAAAGAAGAGCTGCTGCTGGAACACGTGTCCTGATGGAGTTCGCTTAAAGAGCCCCTGTAGATGTTCTCAGCTATGCTTAAAGTTTTGATCAGTGTGGCTGTTACATGAACAGCTCTGTGGTGGCATCCTTTTTTTGGTTGGAAAAGGCTTCATCTTCACCACTTCATCTGGACTCCCCTTGCGCATTCCATGAAACTTAGAGAGGCATAGCCATACAAATGCTGAGAACTCACGTCCAGGTTCGGGAATTTGAAGACCAGTTCGTGAACGTCTACGGCAACCGCTTCCTTTTCCTTTGCCCACCGAACGAGTCCGCAAGCGGCGATTAGCCCCCACTCTGCCATCTTCAGTCCTCAGCCCTCCGAACTCTTCTTCCGAGCCTTTGCCGCGTCACCGGTTTGTGTTTTTTGCGTACGTTTGCGTGTGAACCAGGTATGGGGTGCCCAAGTTCTTGCCGACCACACTGCGACCCACGCAGCTGGGCGGGCAGTCGAGCTGTTGTGGCTGAAGTGTTTTGCAGTGCGCAATGCCAGTCAGCATGCAAAGCCGAGGCACCTCCCGTACCAAGAGATTTACGAGTACAAGTCCTGTGCAAAGTTCCTTGCTGACTTTTTCAATTATGTTCCTTGGCCGCCGACATACGTTACCCACCAAAGCCCAGCAACTTTTGCAGAACCGCGTGGACTTCGGGCCAGGATGAACTCCATCCAGCTGACAGATATCCCACAGTAGTGCCGGCTCCAGCGTCCGTGCTCAACTGGCAGGCCTGCGCCCCTGGGTGGGGTTGTGCAGTGTGCCGCACGTGCTTCTCTTGCTTGTGAACAATGCAGGCTGGGGATTGTTTTGACTTGTCCATTGCGCTTGCCTCCTTGCTGATTGGTGTGGGCTGCTCGTCGATTAGCATCAGGTGGCTTACAGACCTGCTGAGTCTTGTGTTAGACGTCTGCCGCGTACCTTGTGGTTTGCATTGAGGTTACGATGCGTACTGCGTCAGCGGCTTTGCGCCGAGATTCATCACGACCCGCTGCTCGGCCTTACGTAGTCGGCAGGAGCTTTTGCAAATCGGGCCTTTTTGAATTCATCATCTTGACTTTACTCACAGTAGTATGTCCCACGTGAATAGAGATCCCATCTTTAGCACATTGCCTTGAAAGTTGTGTCTTCTCTAAGGCAATGAGGCACGCAGTGCATGCCCACAGCTGGATGCCGATATCGAGGAGACCAAGGAAGAGGACAAGCAGGAGCGTAGCGAATAACGAATGCCTTGCGCCTTGCATGGCCGGTCTGAACGCCTTGAAGACAGTAGTTCAACGACCAGTGTTGCCGCACTCAAGGAACATGTGCTCACGGCGCACCGCGTGGCTCGATGCTCGTGTTTCGCAGTGTCAGCTTTTGGATTCGCAGATGTGTTGTTTGCTCCAATGGGCAGATCTTGCTTGCTGCCCGTGTTTTTTGTTGCTTTGTGTTTCATTGTTTTGTTTTGTATTGTTTTGTTTTGTTTGTTTTGGTTTTGTTTTGTTAAGTTTTGTCTTGTCTTGTCTTGTCTTGTCGTGTCGTGTCATCGTGTCGTGTCGTGTCGTGTCTTGTCTGGTCATGTCGTGTCCAGTCCTGTCCTGTCCTGTGCTGTGCCGTTCTGTTCTGTTTTGTTCTGTTCTGTTTTGTTTTGTTTTGTTTTGTTTTGTTTGAGGTAAGCACTTTCCAGCTAGTTTGAACTGTTGGTGCCAATGTCCTTTGCTACTCATACCCGCTTCAAGCTTCAGCATGGGATCTCTCATCTCCGTCTCCTGTCCTGAGTCTCGTATCTGGAGCTCGCCCAGCACACAAACACGCGTCCGCCGGCCAGAAGTCGTTTCTATGAAATGGGTAGTGCTCTGGAAAGGCTTGCTATCAGGCTAGGTCTGGCAATCTGCGTTGCTGGCTTTAGAGGAGGAGGACGAGTTTGTCATTCCGAAGAAGCCACCGCTGAGGCTGAATCCGAGGGCTCAGCGCAAAACCTCAACTCTGCAGGACGTGCTGCGGGGGTTTTCTAGGTTTTCTAGGCTGCTGCGGCTTAGCTGCCAAGCCATCCTTTTATCCTTTTTGAAGCAGGAGGCTAAGTGGGAACACTGGGTTTCAAGATGGGAGGTAGCTGTGGAACACTGAACCAAATGAAGTCGGTCAAAAACTTCCGAGCAGGTCTGAATACAAGGAGGCAAAGGCCAGGGCAGAGGAGGCGGATCGCATCCGCAGCTCTGCAGCAACTTTGGTTTCGGGGACGCAGCATGGAACGCAGTTTTGAGCATGACACTTCTCATGCTCGTCGAAACCGTTCAGGTCTTGAAGAGGAGGAGATGAAATCGGATTCAGAAGATGATCCGTCCAGTCCCTTTGCTGCTTCAACCTCCAAGAATGTTCAGCACCAGCACAAGCTTGAATGAGGGCGGTGGCGGTGGTGCCAGTGCTATTAGTACAGATGCTATGCAGACAAATTTTTCTGGTTGGAGCGTCGCAAGATTCGCGAAGCCGCAGCACCCAAGGCGACGAGGATGAGTTCGAAAACCGGCGCATCCATTGCTGGGTCTTGGTGCGAAAGGGGTCGCGCGAGGCAGGAAGCGTAAATGGCAGAAAAGGCCCAGTCTGGTATGCCCCCTGCAGGTTGCTGAAGACATGTACCTCGAGCCAACCACCGGCCGCATCTACTCAGTCAGACGATGTCCATACCTCAAGATTGACTTGATCTGGAACCATCGCAATCTTTGGGTCAACATGCAGGCGCTGGCAAAGGGCGGGGGGTTGAGACACATCATGGCTCTGGCCGTAGTATGCCTCGGCAGTTCTCACAAATGCAGGTCTGTGGGGCCTCACACGTCCAGCTCGATTTGTACAACTCCCGCTACTTCGAGTACGTGATGTCAGGGCCCCAGAAGGCCTCCAGAGGTTCATCTCTCAGGTTGGAAACTGGGTTTAGGGTTTAGGGTTTAAGGAGTCCAGTCTGGGTTCAAAAGGGTCTATTAAAAAGGGGCTCTGCAAGATCCAGTGCTTGGTGGTCCCAGCTGATGCTCAGAGTCTGGCTTCAAAAACAGATGCCA